GCTGGAGAGAGGACTTGGGTGCCATCTTGGGTGTGGCAGAGGCAGGCGGGCTGGAGAGAAGACCCGCGCCATCTTGGATGTGGCAGAGGCAGGCAGGCTGGAGAGAGGACTCGGGTGCCATCTTGGATGTGGCTGAGTGGCCATTAGGAGTCCCAGTGGGCACTGGAAACAGCTAAGGGTATGACAGCTCCTGACCCTGTAGAGGCCATATTTACTGTCCCCTTTAACAAATGAAACTGCTGCCTACACGTAGTGGGTGCTGAGACCTGAACCAACGCATTTCCTTCCAGGTGCCAACCGCCTTCCATAAGTGGTCACACCAAAGCCCTCACCAGAGCCAAGGACCCTACAGTGGTTCTCAGCCATGGATTGGAGCATGCGCTGAGCATTCACATCTAGTGTGACACCAAATTCTCCCAGCACCTGACCCCATTTCTTGTTCCACTAACTGGCTTTTGTCTGCACACCTAAGTCGCCCGCTGACCTGTGGTCAGAAAGGAAAGGGTCAGGGGATTAGCCAACCGCCATTGTCTCACTGGGGACTGTCACACACCTTGGCCATCTCTTGGCACAGTTCCTTCTTGGCAAGCACAGCGGAGTTGAAGGTCATGACACTGTAGTTGTGGACACCCTTGTCCAGGGCAGTTGAGATTCGCATCATCTTGGCCTTGGGGACAGGAGGCCTCTTGGTGGCCTGGAAGGCCTTCATGATGTTTTTCTGAAGGAGAAGAAGTTGCCCAGAGTCAGGAGCCACCACAGGTGTCCCTCACCCCTGGCTGGCACCTGGTGGGCAGGGAGATCAGTTGGTTCCTGAGTGTGCTGTGTCCTCATCTCAGAACCACGACACGGGGACACCTGGTTCAACCTGCCACTGTCCAAACTGGAATTCCCAGGACCAGAACCTGGCCCAAGGTCACCAGGTGGGACGCACATGCTGAGTGAGAGGCTTTCAGGGTGTGGGTGGGGGACATTGTGACTTAACCAGGGCTGGCCTCCTCGACAGCGGTCACCTCGGAGGGTCAAGTGCACGGCGAGCGTGTCCTGCGTTCTCAGCAGGCCCCAGAGGACACGGGACTCAGTGCCTCAGCAGAGGACGCTGAGAGAACTAAGGTGGCCCGGGGACTCCTTGTGTAAATGAAAAGAGCAGCGACACAGGTCACCTGGGCCCAGGAGGGAAACCAGAAGGTTCCACGGAGGGCTGGGATACGAGGAAGAATGCAGAGGACCAGGACTAACTCTGTGATAGACACACACCAGAGAAGAGCCTGTCCAAGGAGGCCCTGTGGCAAGGGTCACTGGATGAGGGACAGAGCTCACCAAAATTTAAAAGAGAAAAGGTACTAGCACTTTGAAACAGAAGGGACTTTAAGGAAAAAATACTGGTGTATACAAGTACTTACAGCCAGGCGTGGTTGTGCATACCCATAATCCCAGTGGCTCGGGAGGCTGAGGCAGGAGGATCATGAGTTGGAGGCCAGCCTCATCCACTTAGCAAGGCCCTAAGCAACTCAGTGATTCTCTGTCTCTAAATAAATACAAAAATAGGGCTGTGGGTCAAGGGCCAAGTGCCCCTGAGTTCAATCCCTGGTACCCCAAAATAAAAATAAAAGTACTCAACAGAGATGGATGAATTAAGCCGTGGACAGAATGCAACTGCAGAATGAGGTCATGGACTGAAAAATCAGTTTAGGATCCCAGAAAGCCCTGGACTTAAAAAATAAATAAGACAATCTAGTGTAGAAGATAAAGATGAAAGTAGTGACGTCCACTCAAAAATCAGAGTAGCTAGGCATAGTGGCCCTGGATTGTAATCCCAGCCATTTGGGAGGCTGAGGCAGGAGGATTGCAAGTTCAAGGCCAGCCTCAGCAACTTACTGAGACTCTGTCTTAGAAAATAAAAAGGACTGAGAATGTAGCTCCATGGTAGAGCACCCCTGGGTTCAGTCCCCGTGAACAAGTAAAACTATTGAATGGTTAACCACTAAGGTGCATGATGCTTTGGGGGGTGATGGAACATTCTAGAATTCTGATTTGAATCATGTTTCCACAGATAGAAAAAATGAGCAACTATACACTTTGGATTTGTGCATTTTACTGTATTGGTACTTCTAAAAAGCATTACCGAGAATTGAAAAAGGCCTTTTAGAGTTTTAAAATGATCAAATTGGCAAGATAGAAGGATCCTAAATTTAACTCCTGGATGCACATTTTTTTCCAAGTACATTGAAATATTTGCTAAAGTGGGCCGACTAAGCCAGGAAGCAAATCTCAACAAAGGACCAAGAATACAAAAAATACTCACTGATGCCAACAAAATTGAGGTAGAACTCAATCATCAAAAGAAATGATAATTAAAAATTCCTTAAGGGACTGGGGTTGTGGCTCAGTGGCAGAGCGCTTGCCTAGCATATGTGACGCACTGGGTTCGATTCTCAGCACCACATACAAATGAATAAAATAAAGCTCCATCAACAACTAAAATATATATATTTTTTAAAAGTTCCTTAAGCATTTGGAAAGTCTACAATATTCTTAGATGATCCAGAGATCAAAGAAGGAATCAAAGTGGAAATTAAGGAAATAAACTTGTGGGACTCACTATTCAGAAGTTGATAGTCAAAATGTATCTGTTCAGTTGAATTCCCAAAAAAGCAATGAGGTAAACATGCATTTGAAGAAGTCAGAAAAAGAAAAGCACGTTAGCTGGGTTCGGTGGCACACGCCTGTCATCTCAGAGGCTTAGGAGGCTGAGGCAGGAGGCTCACAAGTTGGAGGCCAGCCTCAGCAAGTTAGTGAAAAGGGCTGGGGATGTGGCTCAGTAGTTTAAATTTAAATCAATCGCCAGTTCCGATAAATAAATAAAATCAGGAATCAAGAAAATAGAAGATGTATAATATGGAAATCAAAAATCAAGTTGTTGGTGCTTTGAAGGGAATGATAATATCATAAATGTGATTTCAGTGCAGACCCCAAACAGCCATCCATAGACTCGCACTTGGCCTGACGGGACTGAGGTACAGAAGATCGGGGTGAAGGATGACTAGTTGATCAGGAGTGATCTGAATGGAAGAGATGGGACTATTTCTAACCTCATGCAAAAATCAATAAATCCCAGATGGATGGAGAGTTGAAATATGGAGCTGGGGCTCAGTGGTAGAGCGCTCACCTGGCAAGTGTGAGGCCCTGGGTTCAATTCTCAGCACCACATAAAAATAAAGATATTGTGTCCATCTAAAAAACTAAAAACTAAAAGACCCCATATTAAGAGAGTGGAAAGACGAATCAGAAATCAGGAGATACTTGCCACTTATTGGGTTGGCAATGGAAATGTCAAAGCCACCAAAAAATCAAGGAAATATTTTGAGACAAAGACATGTTAAGGTAGTTGCAATCATATCATTTAAGTAGCAGAATGTCACAGAGTACCATAGTACACAGACTCCGGAGGCTGAGGGAGGAGGATCGCAAGTTAGAGGCCAGCCTCAGCAACTTAAAGCTGTCTCAAAACAAGATATTAAAAACGAGGGAGCTGGGATGTAGCTCAATGCTAAAGTGCCCTTGGGCTCAATCCCCAGTAATCCAAAAAAATAAAAAGCAAAAGATAAACAATTCAAATGCCCAAGTATTGATATTTGATTTCTTAAGCTAGGTAATTGGCTTTTTTTTTGGGGGGGGGGGGGGCAATGCTAGGAAGGGAGGCCCTCACGTACACTAGGCAGGCAGTTCACCACCAAGCTACCTCCCAGCCTCAGTGTCTTTTGTTGGTTTTTTGTGGTGCTGGGGATTGAACTTGGGGCCTGGGCATGCCAGGCAAGCACTCTACCAACTGAGCCTCATCCCCAGCCCCTATTATTTTTTAATAGTGTACACAAATACACTCATTTGCTGAAATTTTACATCATTCATGAAGGTGATAATTTCTGGAAAATGATTGGTACAACTTAGAGCTATAAATTGCCAACTACCATAATGGTCACAGAGGAAGATCAGGTTGGTAAACCGGAAGACGGAGCAGAACTGGATGGGAGAGACCAGCAAGTAAGAAGGGGGTAAAGATGGAGACAGGAAATAAAAACACTTTGAAAGAATTTTGGGGGGTAAATCCAGGGGAGCTTAACCCCTGAGCCGCATCCCCAGCCCTTTTTTGTATTTTATTTAGAGACAGGGTCTCACTGAGTTGCTTAGCACCTTGCTCAGTTGCTGAGGCTGGCCTCCACTTTGCGATCCTCCTGCCTCAGCCTCCTGAGCTGCTGGGATGACAGGCGTGCGCCACCGTGCCTGGCTTTAAAGGATTTTTTTTTAAGCCCCACCTAGAGGTGGAGAGCTCTAAAAGAAATGGTTTATTTAGCTGAAAGGAGAAACGAATCAGGAAGGTATCAGACTTCTCTGCAGCCCTTGATTCTAGAAAGCGGTGGAGTTTGGGGTGGAGAGAGGAGAGGGGATATGGACCCATAAACAGTCCACTGTGGTCCAAGTGACAGAAGAAAAGGCAGACCTTATACCTGCAAGAAATGGGAGCCATTCCTACCCTTCTGAAAGGAAAATCACAAACTAAAGCAAAGGATAAAATAGATAAAAAGATAAAATGGACTCCAAAAATCTGGAGCAATAAAGACGTGAATAAAATTCATAGTTGAGCAGGAGGAAAGGAGGACTCATAGGGTGAATGGAATAAGGAGCTCAGAAAATCCATCCTCCTGAGAGCTCAGTCCTTGCACCAAGGATGTGGCTCAATGGCGGATCACTTACCCAGGAAACCCTGGGCTCGAACCCAGCCCTGAAAGAAGAAGAAAGAAAACAATGAAAAAACTCAAAAGCAACCACTGGAAACCGAACAAAGACGTACAACAAACTGAGATGTGTTCATTCATAAAGATATACTTAAAAAACAACCAAAAAGGCCAGGTGCATTGCACACAACTGAAATTTCAGTGACTCGGGAGGCTGAGGCAGGAGGATCACAAGGTGGAGGCCAGCCTCAATAACTTAGCGAGGCCCTAAGCAACTCAGCAAGACTCTTGTCTCTAAATAAAATATTAACAATAACAAAAACAGGGGCTGGGGATGGGGCTCAGGGGTTAAGATCCTCTGGGTACACTCTCCAGTATCCCCCCCAAAAAAAAAATTCCAATTGAAAAATGGGCAAAGGATCTGAATGGATACTTTTTTAAAAGAAGAAATGCAACTGGGCATGCGCCTGTCATCCTAGCAACTCAGGAGGCTCTGGCAGGAGGACTGCAAGTTCAGATCAGCCTGCGAAACACAGTGAGACCCTGTCTCAAAATTCTTTTAAAAAATTAAAGGTTGAAGATGTAGTTCAGTGATAAAATCACCCCTAGGTTCAATCCCAGTACTAAATAATAATAATAATAATAGTAATAGTAATAATAATAATAATAAAAATAAGAAAGAAGAGAAGGAGGTGAAATGGTCAAGAAATATATTAAAACATGGTCAATATCATTAGCCATCAGGGAAATGCAGATCAAAACGACAATGAGACAATCATTTCACCCCAATTAGAATGGCTGTTATTTTAAAAAAAATAACAAATGTTCAGATGTGGAGATAAAGGAACTTGTTCACTGCTATTAGGCGTGTAAATCAATGATACAACCATAATTATTAATCTGGTTCCTCAGAAAACTAAAAATAGATCGACCGTGTGATCCAGCTACCCCACTTCTGGGTATGTCTCCAAAAGAAATGAAATCAGCTCACCAAAGAGGTACCCCTACACCCCATGTCTGTTACGGACCTATTCACAATTACTAAGATAAAGAATCAACCTAGGAACCCTATGACAGATGCATGGATAAAGAAAAGGGTGTGTGTGTGTGTGTGCGCGCACATGTATTTATATTTTATTTAGAGATAGGGTCTCACTGAGTTGCTTAGGGCCTCACTAAGTTGCTGAGGCTGGCCTCCCACTTGAGATCCTCCTGCCTCAGCCTCTTGAGTCACTGGGATGACAGGCGTGTACACACATACACACATTTTCTTTATCAATTCATTTGCCACTGGGTACTTAGGCTGATACACACACACACACACACACACACACACACACATAATGGAATATTACTCAGCCATCAAGAATGAAATCCTGTGATTTGGCAATCAAATGGATGAACCTGGAAGACATCGTGTCAAGTGAAATAAGCGCTAAACATGGACAGGTATAGGGCATGTTCTCCACCATATGTAGAAGTTTAAAAAACAAAATTGGCCTGAACGTAAAATAGTGATTGCTGAAGGGGATGATCAGTGTGTGCCGTATGCACATGATGAAATGTCATCACACTGGATCCCATTCTTAGGTACCCCAGTTACATGCCAATCAAAATAAAAGAATCCTGTGGGGGGAGCCGGACAGAACCTCAGGCAAGGACACTGGGGATCATTCCAAAGCCCAGGTGTGGCCACACACGAGTTGTTAGAAGGAGATCAAGACTGATCCCTCCCTCCTCTGTGGCTTCCCATCTGGCCATCTGATCCCTCCCTTGTGAAGGTATTACCCCTGTGATGCCATCTGCCCTGTGGTGCTGCGGCTAAGGAGGCCCTTGGCAGAGGCCAAACTAGTGGGGCCATCCAGATTGGACTTTCCTCCTCCAAAATTAATCTAACTGAACCTATTTTCTTTATATGTTTCCCAGCCTCCGGTGATTTGTTATAGCAACAGAAAACCGATTAATACAGATGACCCAATTTCAAAAGGTTACAGGATACAAGATGAATAGTAAAAATTCATTATATTTCTATATTCTAGTGACAACACAGAAATTTTTAAAACTCAATATATTAACAGTATTATTTTCTCAAAAAGAGGTCTGATACTTATATGCCACAGAAATGGCTGAGGGAGAGAAGACCTAAATCACAGCAGAGATATTCCATATTATCAATGGCAGTCCTCAAACCTCTAGGATAGCAATGCTTCCCAAATGGATCTGGAGTCCACCCAGTGCCTAGGAAATCCAAGCAGTTGAGAGAGAAGAAAATTGGGTTGGGGATATGGCTCGGTGGTTGAAAACCCAACCTAGTTTCAAAACAGTGGCTCCGGAGGCTGAGGCAGGAGGATCGCAAGGTGGAGGCCAGCCTCAGCCACTTAGCAAAACCCTGAGCAACTCAGGGAGACCCTGTCTCTAAATAAAATATAAAAAGGGCTGGGGACAGGGCTCAGGGGTAAAGCACCCCTGGGTTCCATCCCCGGAACCAAAAGAAAAATCTCTCCAGCAGGTGGAGACAGCCCTGGTGGGCTGGGAGGCCGGATGTGGAGGGAGGAGGCAGGCCCACCTGGATCAGGTAGTGCTTCTCTCTCGTCGTCAGGAGCATGTTGTTCCGCCATTGCAGGTACTTCTCCTGGTGGGCAAGGATCTTGGAATTGAGGGTGGAGACCTGACTTTGGGATCCTTCAAGATTGGGGACAGGCTGAGGGGAGATGGTAGGTAGCTTCTGATCCATGAGGTCCTCTTGAGAGATGGGGAGCCCAAACTCTTGGCTCAAGTCTTTGATCATGGCGGACGAAGGTAGCAAGTCTCTGACGATCACCTCCCTGAGCTTGGTACTGTGGTAGCAGATGTTGTAGATTCTGCAACGAAGAACACCCCACTCAGCCTCACGGGCCTTGAGAGACGGGGACAGTCACCCCTATTTTATGGAGGACATAAAACCCAAGAGAGGCTGATTAGCTGGTGCCAGGTCATAAATGAAGTGCTCAGGTCTAGTTTGATCTGTTTGGCCTCCTTCCTGGAGAATCCCTTCTTCCCTCTCCATATTTTATATTTTATTTAGAGACGGGGTCTCCCTGAGTTGCTCAGGGCCTAAGTTGCTGAGGCTGGCCTCCACCTTGCGATCCTCCTGCCTCAGCCTCCTGAGCAGCTGGGATGACAGGTGTGTGCTGGCTTCCCTCCTCCTTTGACCCCCAAGAATTTACTGGCTACTCGTGCTCTGATATGAATGCTCTTCTTTGATTGTGATCTGTCCTGCTGTGGCTGTGGGGTGTCCCCAGAGTCCCCCTGGGAGGTGACACAGGAAGGTCCAGAGGATGAGTGAGGGGTGTGAGGCCTGAACCCCGGCAGGGAATGGCTCCCTGGGGGTCCCCTGGTGGCCCCTGGAGGCAGGTGGGGTGTGGAGGAGGAGGTAACCCTGGGGCTGTGGCTTGGGGGTCTCTATTTGTCCCTGGAGAGTGGAGTCCCTGGTCCCCATGGGAGCTGCTCCCTCCCCACACTCTTCCTCCATGATGTCCTGCCTCCCCTAGGCCCAGGGGTGGAGCCGCCATCTGTGGACTGGGACCTGGGACACCCTGAGCCCCACATCCACTGTCCCTCTCTGCAGTTGTGCTAGAGGGTCCCTGAGTCACAGCACAGAAAAAGCTGACTGAGCCACAGTCTCATCCATGACCCTCAACAGCGCATGGAGAGCATCCCTAGCAAGATGGCCAGTGGTACACCTCAGAATCCTCCTCCACCAGGAATGGTAATATGCCCGTAGCCTGATTTCTGAGCAAATCTCAGAAGACTGGGCCGCCAGTCATCCTGCCTTCCCAACCCCCAAAATTCCCCTCCTTTGCCAGGCTCAGTGGCTAATATCTGTAATCCTAGCAATTAGGGAGGCTGAGTCAGGAGGATCGCAAGTTGGAGGCCAGCCTCGACAATTGAGTAAGGCCCTCAGCAACTTAGCAAGATGCTATCTCTAAATAAAATACAAAAAGAGGCTGGGGCAGGGGCTGGGGCTGGGGCTCAGGGGCTGGGGCTGAGGCTCAGGGGCAGAGGCTGAGGCTCAGGGGCAGAGGCTGAGGCTCAGGGGCTGGGGCTGAGGCTGGGGCAGGAGCTGAGGCTCATTGGCAGAGCAGGCCCCGACCTGGCCAGTGCCTGGAAGGCCTTATGCGGTATGGCGTCGCGCAGGTAGAGCCCCGGATGTCGCATGAGCAGCGACAGGGGCCTGAAGAGGTGCACGTGGTACAGGACGGTCTCCAGGTCTGCGTAGAGGCGGTGGCGGAACAGCAGCTGCGAGTTGTAGAGCACTTTGTATTTCCTGAGCTCCAACATGGGGATTCTGAAAGAGAGGGACACCAGCCAGGGGTCACTGGGCACACTGCAGGCTCAGGGTAGGGCCTCTGGTCCAACTCCCAGGACCAGAAAAGCAAGCAAATAAAAAGATTTTTCCATCCCTGTAGGCAGCGGTAGTATAGGTGTCACCAGTGAAGCAGTGTGGTTATGGAAGATGTCCCCAAGGGCCACCGAGGACGGGATCGAGAAACTCTATTAATTGTTACAACTTGTGAGTCTGTAATTACTTCACAGTTTACAGTTTAGAAGTGTGGACTTAGGTTACACCTGTCATCCCAGTGGCTCTGGAGGCTGAGGCAGGAGGATCGCAAGGTGGAGGCCAGCCTCAGCCACTTAGCAAGGCCCTCAGCAACTCAGATTATTTATTTATGTTTTCATTCATTAACTTTGCAATTCTGAGGGTTGAACCTGGGCCTCCTGCGGGCTAGGCAGGGGCTTTCCCACTGACCTACGACCTCAGCCCTGTTTTATTTCATATGACATTTTATTTTGTCTTTGCTTGTCGAAGACCCATGACAGAAAGAACCCAGGGCCTCTTAACCCCTGAGCCCCGTCCCCAGCCCTTTTTATGTTTTATTTAGAGACAGGGTCTTGCTGAGTTGCTGAGGGCCTCGCTAAATTGCTGAGGCTGGCCTCCAACTTGCGATCCTCCTGCCTCAGCCTCCTGAGCCACTGGGATGACAGGCGCACACCACCATGCCCAGCATGCTGAACCTGGCAACATTTACGCCTACCCTGTATCCCAGTTCAGGGCCTGTACGTGTGGTCATTGGTAGGAACTTGTTCTGTGAAGAACTTGTTGGAATCATTCTTCCACCCATTCTTCTGGGATGTTTCGATCATTCTTATTGATTCACAGAACTCTTTATATTTTCAGGCTACTACTATGTTCCACACATTGTAAATAACTTTTTTTCTCACTTTTCTTACTTTTTTTTTTTATTACTGGGGATTAAACCCAAGGATACTGTGGCCGGCTGTTGCCCTCATCTATAATCTCAGTGATTTGGGGAGGTAGATATTGGAAGCCAAGACAGGAGGATTGCAAATTGGAGGCCAACCTCAGCCACTTAGCGAGGCCCTGAGCAACTCAGCGAGACCCTGTCTCTAAATAAAATACAGAAAAGGGCTGGGGACGGGGCTCAGTGGTGGAGTACCCCTAGGTTCAATCCCTGGTATCAAAAAAAAATAGCAATAATAATAAATAATTATCAAATCAGGATACAAGATACACACAAATCAATCATATTTCCATATTACCAGCAATAAACACCTGGCAACTGAAATTTAAAATATGATACCCTCATTGTAGGCTCAAGGGGGTAAAAGGGTCAACTTGTTTGAAAGACTGTGCTATCAGAAGAGAGAGCCAGGGTCCCCTGTTCCCACCGGGTCACCTAGGAAGCTGATCCCCGGACGAGGGTCATTTCACCCTGCTCAGCCAATCAGGCACTCAGAGGTCACTCCAGCCACTGTCCAAGCAGACCAGGCTCCTGCCCCTGGGGGCAGCAGGTCATGGTGTCAGAATCATGTATCTGGATTATTTATTTATTGGTCCTGGGGATTGAACCACAAAATAAAACCCTTCTTATTTGATTCTGAGCATCTCGCTAAGTTGCTGAGGCTGGCCTCTAATCTGCGATCCTCCGCCCTCAGCCTCCCTGGGCCTTGCTGGGGCTCCTTCCTCATTCAGACGCCACCTACCGGCTCTGGTGGCTCTCCCACAGCTGCCGCAGGCCCCCGTCGGCCAAGCCTTCCAGAACAAAGAGGTGGAGGTTCCCATCCAGCAGGTGGAAGCCCGTCAGGACGTCCAGATGCTCCTGATGCTGGATGTTGACCCGCATCTTGAAGGCCGAGAGGATCTGCTGGACGGTCCCGGTGGGATAGGAGTCCAGCTCCAGGGCCTTGGCGTTGATCAGGGTGATGTCCTTCAGCAGACTGTGAAGCAGGAACAGGTCTTGGGCACTGAACACGAACACGATGCGGCCAAAGTGGCTGCCCAGGAAGTCCACGCCCTGGGCTTTGGCCCAGGTGGTCAGAGGCACCGCCACGTCCACTCGCAGTTTGAGCAATGAGTTGGCCTCCAAGTAGTTTCCAGCGGGCATCGGGTTGTGCTGGAGGACCTCGGTGGCTGGGATCTGGAACCTCGAGACCCTCCTGCATCGGCTGCCCTGGAGGCCGAGGGTGGCCTTGGGCTCACAGCGCTGGATGGGGACCACCAGGTTCAGGTACTTGTGGCCAAGGAGGAGGTCCGCGAAACTGACCCGGGCGACTCCGTGAGGGTCCCAGGTCTTGTTCTGAGACTCAAAGGGGTTGTCCTCCGTCTCCTTGGAGGAGATGAAGGACTGGATGTTCCCGTGGGAATCCAGGGGGTCCTCCCCAAACAGGGTGGGCCTGCGGGAGGACTCGTCCGACTTACGGTCCCGATCGTGGACTTCCACCACCATGGGGGGACCCTCCAGGTACTCCCGCAGGTCGCTGGGGTGGATGGCTCCCAGGCAGATGACATTGATGTCCTCGAAGTAAACGTGGGTCCCGTGGGGCCGCTCCTCGGTCCTGTGCACCGGGGTCTTGTGGAAGCGGTACCTGCAGTAGACGGGGGTGCACAGCCTCTGCAAAAGAACAGGCCCATGGCCACTCACCATGACTGTCCCTCTGCCACCAGGAAGGAGGCCCACAGTCGCTCACCATGACTGTCCCTCTGCCACCAAGAACAGAGCGCCCACCTGGGACCTCATACCCCAGGGCCATGCCTGCAGCCTGGGGGCCTCAGTTTGCCCTGCTACAAAGTGTCCACGGGTAACCAACCCACTCTGCAAGGTCACTCCAGGACTCTGAGGCCCAGTGTCCACAAAAGTGCCACCAGGTAAGAAGGTAGAACATAGAAAAAATTCAGGAAATAATGACTGGGGCTGGGCTGGGGCTCAGTGGCAGAGCGCTTGCCTGGCACGTGGGAGGCCCTGGGTTCCATCCTCAGCACCACAGAGAAATAAATAAATAAAATAAAGGCATCTGTCCATCTACAGCTACAAAAAAAAAATTTAAAAAAAAATAGTGTCTGAAAATCTCCTGAATTTGTCAAAGAACATTAACTTGTAGGTTCTAGAATCTCAGTAAATCCCAATCAGATGAACTCAGAAACGCAGGCCCAGACACATCCTTATGGAACAGATTAAAAGCAGAGATAACACATATTAAAAACAGCCAGATCATCATTTCCCATGTGCATACAAGGATCACAGGACCTCACTCTACACAATGTCCAACCAGGTGAATGACAAGTCATACTCCATTTGTCAGAATTTTTGCATTCTGCTGTCATGTGTAACTAATTAGAACAAATAAAAAAAAAATACAGTTCTCCCACTCCTTGGTTTATACCCAGAGGACTTAAAATCAGCATCCTATAGTGACACAGCCACTACAGCAGCTCAATTCACAATAGCTAGACTATGGAACCAACCTAGGTGTCCCTCAGTAGATGAATGGATAAAGAAAATGTGGTATGTATACTCAATGGAATATTACACTGCTTGGAAAAAGAATAGAATTATGGCATTTGCAGTAAATGGTTGGAGTTGGAGACTATCATGCTAAGCGAAATAAGCCAATCCCACAAAACCAAAGGCCGAATGTTTTCTCTAGTATGTGGATGCTAATCCACAAGGATTGGGGGCCCCTGAAGAAGAACAGTGTTACCTTAGATTCGGTAGAGGGAAGTGATGGGAGGGGAGGGGATGTGGAGATAGGAAAGATAGTGGAATGAAACAGACCTTATTACTGTATGTATCCATGTGACAATGTACAATATGATTCTGCAACATGCACACTCAGAAAATGAGATTATATCCCACCTACGTATGATCTATCAAAGTGCATATATGCATTCGCCTGCCATGTACAACTAATTTAAACAAATCAAAAATAAATTAAAAAGTGGCCAGAGAAAAACAACGCATTACATCCATAAAAATAGTCCAGGACGTTCAGCATCTAAATAACAGGAGCTCCAAAAAGACGTGGGGAAAAAAAAAGAAATAATCAGTGAGATAATACAAGACAACTGCCCAGCACTGAAAGAGCTCCTGAGTCTCCTGGCTGAATGTTTCTGGAGGCAAGAAGCACCCCCAAGAAAAGTCTGCTTTCTCCAGCCAAAGGACCAAGAAAGGGGTGGCCTAGCAGGACAGAAAACTGTCAGGAAAATGAGCACCCTACCCCAGACAAACACCTCGGAGAAAACGCAGCCCACCAACGTCTGCAAAGGCCTAGGGGGACGTCCACCCGGACGTCCACCTCCCCCAACTCTAACGGGGTGCCCTGGCCACTCCCCTGGCTGGGAGCCAGGACTTGGATCAGCATCCACGGGCAACGTAGCTCCCTGTGACTACCGTGATGTCACTGAAGGCCAGGCAGGGAGCAGGCCTCTGTGATCACCCTCTGTCCAAATAAGGTCATATTCTGACATACACAAAACGAAGATCCTACAAGCTTTAAGGGAAATAAAAAATGGGACATAAACCAAGGTCCAACACAGAACATTAAAAAAAATGATGGACTGATTGCCTTCAAAACTCTGAAGGAAAACTAGAATTCTATACCCAAACTATCTACCAAATAGAAGGATAGAATAACCCGCGGTGGGTCGGGGGGTATTCCATTGATCTTTTCTCAAGAGGTTACTGAAGGATGTGCTCCAGCAAAACCAAAGGATAAACAAATGAAGAGGAAGATGTGGAGTCCGAAAGACAAGAAAATCCAAACAGCAGAGGGAAGAGGGTAAGTATGCAGCGAGGTGCTGCTGCTGTAACAGGAAAATCCATGGGTTCCTCTTTTTTTAATCCCAGTTATTTTTTTTATTTGGTCTAATTAGTTACACGTGACAGTAGAATGCATTTGGACGCATCCTACATAAATGGAGCCTAACTTCTCATTCTTCTGGTTGTGCATGAGGTAGGACCACACCCGTCATGTATCATATACACACAGAGGGTGATAGCATCCACCTTCCTTCCCACCCCCTGACCCTGTCCCCTCCCTTCACTCCCCTCTGTCTAATCCAGTGTACCCCTATTCTTCCCTCTACCCCCCCATTATGAATCAGCATCCTCATATCAGAGAGAACGTCCTTTGGATCTTTGGGATTGACTGATCTCACTTAGCGTAACAGCCTCCAGCTCCACCCCCCATGGGTTCCTGAAGAGAGGCTGGAGACCTCCATCTGTACAGCAACTGTGACGTAGTGAGAGGCCTCATATTTGGAGGCTCCTAGTTAGGGGCCAATCTGGGCATTGAACTCAGGGGCACTTGACCGACCTCTGAGCCCTGTCCCCAGCCCCTTTTCATATTTTTATTTAGAGACAGGGTCTTGCCGAGTTGCTTAGGGCCTCAATTTGGCGGAGGCTGGCCTCCACCTTGCGATCCTCCTGCCTCGGCCTCCTGAGCTGCTGGGATGACAGGTGTGGCCCGTTCTTACCTGTAGTTCCTGAATAGGCACAGGTTGTGACGGCAGGCAGGAAACAGAGTCGATCCTTATGATCAGGGGGTTTAATTCCAGCTTCTGCTCCTCGGTCATGATAGGCACTTCGGTTTTGAAAGTCAAAAGGCAATCCAAAATGTTGGCCGACTTGTCACTGCCCCGGCTCTTGACAGTTTGCTGTCCTGGGGTGAAATACACACAGTGGTTTAGACCACCCCAGACAGGCACAGAGGGATCAAGCAACCAGAGAAGGGCTAATGACAAAATCATACCAAAAAATAAAATTTATTTTAAAAAAAGAAGAATCAGGAATCGCCCACAAGCAGCAGGTTATATGTCAGTTCCTCCAACTAAAGTCCCATTGAGTCTCTAAGAGAATTGAATTTTGTTTTTTCTTTTTTTTGTACCAGGGATTGAACCCAGGAGCACTTAACCCCTGAGCCCCGTCCCCAGCCCTTTTTCTATTTTATTTAGAGACAGGGTCTCACTGAGTTGCTCAGGGCCTCAATTTGGCGGAGGCTGGCCTCCACCTTGCGATCCTCCTGCCTCAGCCTCCCAAGCTACTGGGATGACAGGCGTGTGTCCCCGCACCTGGCTGGCTAAGAATTGAATATTTTGTCCCTGAATCTGATATAAATATATCTTGAGTCATCCAGGATGCAGTGAGGAATATTGATACACAGGTGCCAATCAACCCTAGTCTGATCTAGTTGGTCTGGGGAGTGTGGTCTCCATCTTGGAAGGTTCAAAATGTCAGATTCTACACTCACCATCCTAGAACCTTTGCCATCAACGATGGTACCTACGAGGCATGTGTGGCTTCTAGAATCTGCACTGATTAAAGCTCAGTAGCATTTAAAGTGCAGTTTGGGGCTGGGGATGTGGCTCAAGTGGTAGTGCGCTCGCCTAGCATGCGTGAGGCACTGGGTTTGATCCTCAGCACAGACATGGGGCTTGGTCATTGCTACAGACGGTGCTATTGGGTAGAACTGCTCCAGGTAATTATTTTAGAGCAAAGAATCATCTTGGTCCAAAAATGTCAGTGTGTACACTGAGCACTCAGGGGTGGGTGTCACTTTGCCATGGCTTAACGAGACAAGTCTAGGTACTCATGCCGAACGAGACTGGCATATCTGGGCCAAATCCCAAAGAGGAATAACTCTCCCTGTGACGGTTTTGCAAGTTCTACTTAAAAAAAAAAAAAAAAAGTAGGTGGGTGAATTATTCATTGCAAAGCAAACATATAGTCTTTTCCTATAAAATATGGTCCATTTGTTTCACCAGTTGGAGATACACTGTGGTAGCAAAAATTAAATGAAATGGGCCAGGCACGGCGGCACACACCTGTCATCCCAGTGGCTTGGGAGGCTGAGGCAGGAGGATCGAAAGTTGGAGGCCAGCCTCAGCCACTTTGGCCCTAAGCAACTCAGCGAGACCCTGTCTCTAAATTAAAAAATAAAAAAGGTTGGAGATGGGGCTCAGGGATTGGGCACCCCTGGGTTCAATCCCTGGTACCCCCCCCCAAAAAAAAAGACAAAATTATGGTGTGTACATATATGAATGTACCACAGCGAATTCCACCTTTATAGCTATAATTTTTTTTAAATTAAAATGAAAAAAACTAAAACAAAGAGAAGGAAGACCAGCAGAGTAGAGGAAGGGGGAAAAGGGGAGGGATGAGGGGAAAGAAAAATTCTATTCCATTCACGTGTCACTCAAAAGCATTTAAAAACTGCACTTCTACAAAACAGCCAGCAGAGGGCGCGCCTGCCCCTGCCAGTCCAAAGCACAAAAAACTGTCTTATTCTGTTCTTTGTCCAACTGGGAATTGAACTCAAGGTCATTCTACCGCCTCTGATTTATTTTTTCATTCCGACCCAGGGTCTTGCTAAATTTCCACGGCTGGACTTCAATTTACAATCCTCCTGCCTCAGCCTCCCTGTAGCTGGGATTACAGGTGTGCGCCACCCACCCACCTGAAATGACTTTCTTTAAAAAGCAGAAAGAGCGGGGGTCTGGGAATGTAGCTTAGTGGCAGAGCGCTTGCCTGGGGTGCATGAGGCTCTGAGCGCAGCCCCCAGTACTACCAAAGGGAAAAAAGAAGGGGCTGTCATCCCAGCGGCTTGGGAGGCTGAGGCCGGAGGATCACAAGTTGGAGGCCAGCCTCAGCCACGCCACTTAGTGAGGCCCTAAGCAACTCAGCGAGACCCTGTCTCTACATAAATAATGAAAAGTGATGGGGGACGGAATCAAACAGACCTGAGTTCAAATCCTGATTTCCCATTTGCTACGCTGTGTGTCTTGGGTGGCGCACTTAACCTCTCTGGGCCTCCATTGTCCTCCTGCATACAGTGGAGGCTATTAACCCTGCTTTCCGGAGGGGGCAGTGGGGATGAAATGAGGTGGTACAGAGCAGGGGCTTGGCCGACTGTGTGGACCATTTCAGTCCCATGTGGTGACAGGAGGACCAGAGACTGGTGGGAACAGGTGTAGCTACCAGCAAGCAGAGGCATGATGGCCAGCTGCAGGGAGAAGACGCTCTGCCTCCACTGGCTGGGGTCAAACTCCTCTTCCGAGTGCTGCTTCTTTCCCTTCTTCAGGCTTCTCCTCTTCATCTCGTGATCTTTCTCTTGGGATGTGAAATCAAAGGGAGGAGAACACGGTTAGGAGGCGGCTCTATTGCGCCCCCGCGAGGCCACGCAAGAAGCGAACAGCCTAGCTCCAGGCGCAGGGGGGTGCAGGGCCACCCAATCCCGGCCTGGGGAGAGGCTGATGCAGCAAATCAGTGGCACATCTCTGCAAGACAGTGTGCCTCCATACCATCCATACCAGCCTAGTGGCACATTGTTCCTGGGTGTATCGTATTCTCAACTGCATCTGTTAATCTTGTGGTGAGGGTGTTAGGATCCTGTGCTCACATCTTGGGGGAAAGGGTACAGGGGATTGAACCAGGGGTGCTTAAACCCTGAGCCCTGTCCCCAGCCCTTTTTATATTTTATTTAGAGACAGGGTCTCATTGAGTTGCTTAGGACCTTGCCAAATTGCTGAGGCTGGCCTCCACCTTGTGATCCTCCTGCCTCAGTCTCCTGAGCCGCTGGGATGACAGGAAAGTACCACCCCATTTGGCTCATGCAGAGCACTTGCCTGGCACATGTGAAGCACTGGGTTCGATCCTCAGTACCACATAAAAATAAATAAATAAAATTAAAAACTAAAAAAAATACAACTAAAAAAATTATTGAAAGATTATCTAAAAAAAAAAATGTGCTGGCAGGATTCTTGTGCCATAATTAAAAAGCATTTATTGAATTATCTGTAGTGTTCATGAATCTAGTTAGACAAAAATAAGTAAGATATTGTCTCTGCCCATGAGGAGTTTAAAATTTAGGTGGGAATCAACTCATAAAAAGTCAGAAATGCACCAGGCTCGCGGTGGTGCACGCCTGCAATCCCAGAGGCTTGGGAGGCTGAGGCAGGAGAATCCTGAGTTCAAAACCAGCCTCAGCAAAAGCAAGGCCCTAAGCAACTCAGGGAGACCCCCGTCTCTAAATAAAATACAAAATAGGGCTGGGGATGGGGCTCAGTGGCTCAGTGCCCCTGAGTTCAATCCCCAGTACCCCAAAACAAAGGTCAGAAATGCAATATCGTAGCAGGGAATGGTGGGGTGCATCTGTGATACCAGCCATTCTGGAGGCTGAGGCAGGAGGATCACAAATTCGAGGCCAACCTCAGCAATTTAGTGAGACCCTGTCTCAAAATAAAAATAAAAAGGTCTGATGTGTAGCTCAGTGTAGGACACTGTTGGCTTCAATTCCCAGTATCGAAGGAGGAGGAGGGGAGAGGGAGAGAAGAAAAATGAAAAGAAAAGAAGAAACATCATATCATATATGTATATGTGTAAGATTCCAGACAATCAATACCAGGAAGAACTAGGGAACTCAGACTTGGAAATCCAGTTTTCACCATACTGTAGTTCTTTCACTCTGTTCTCCTCTTCACTAGTTTTCTGTTTCTTTTATGCATATCAATTTTAGGCAGAAAAAAATATAGCATTTAATTACACAGCTGTCATATAGAAATGACTCAATTTCTTTTTAATTCGTTTTGTTTGCTGCAGTGCTGGAGATCTTGCAGGTCCTTGTGCAGGCCAGGCAAGCACTCAACCCCTGAGCCCCGTCCCCAGCCCTTTTTATATTTAATTTAGAGACAGGGTCTCGCTGAGTTGCTTAGGACCTCGCTAAGTTGCTGAGGCTGGCCTCCGCCTTTCGATCCTCCTGCCTCAGCCTCCAGAGCCATTGGTCTTACAGTCCAATGGCTTGAGCTACCTTGCCTGGCTAATCCACTCTCTTTAATGCTTCCCCCCAAGGTGCCACTTACCAAACCCACCACAGCACCTATTAAACAGAATTGTAATTCCTTATTTGCTGGCTTCCAGTAGACACTAGAGACTTTCATGTGCCCATATGTGCAGCATCAAAGATCAGGAACACAAAAGTATTGGTGGGGTGGGATGGAGAGAGATGGAGGGGACAATGAGGGCAAGTGAACAGAAGATGACATGGTGGCTGGATGGAGGATAGGTGGGTGGATGGATGGATGGATGGATGAGTAGATAGAGATGAATGGATGGATAGATGGAAGGATGGATAAATGGATGGACAGATACATGGATAGGTATGGATTGATGGATGGATACGTGAATGGGTGGATGGATGGAAGGAAGGATGCATGGATGGATGGATAGACGAATGGATACATAGATGGATATATAGACAGATGGATGGATGGATAAATAGATGGATGGATTGATGGATGGATGTATTCATAGATGGATGGACAGATAAAGGGATGGACAGAGATAGAGGGATAATAGAATATTGATGGATGAATGGATGGATAGATAGATGGATAAATGGATGGACAGATACATGGATAGGTATGGATTGATGGATGGATACGTGATGGATGGATGGATGGATGGATGGAAGGATGGATAGATAAATGGATGGATGTATTCATAGATGAATGGATAGATAAAGGGATGGACAGAGATAGAGAGATGGATAATAGAATATTGATGGATGAATGGATGGATGGGTGGATGGATAGATACACGGATAGACAGAGAGATGTATGGATAGACAGATGGATTGATCGAAGGATCAATAGAAAATAAATGATCGATGGATGGATAAAAAATAAATGGATGGACGGATAGATGGATAGTAGATGGATGAATGGATGGATGGATGGATAGATGGACAGATGGAAGGATGGATAGATAAATGGAGATGGATAGATGAATGAATGGGTAGAGAGATGAATGGGTTGATGGATGAATGGATGGATGGATAGATGAATGATTAGATGATGGATGGATGGACTTATTTGTAGAT